TGCGGCTCGGAACGAGAACACTCTAGTGATTATTTCACTGGCTACAGGGTAGAGAAGTCTGTTCCACTCCCTAGGGATATAGAGGAGCTAGATGGCTCATCAGTACCGGTGCTTAACTCTGGTCTCTGTAACATGAAGTGCCTAGGGGTAGTGCCACTCTCCCTTGATGGGATCCTAGTCTATCACAGGTTACCCCTAGTTTTTGTCAGGTTGCTCTCACAATTGATCAGTGCCATTTCCACTCCATGGAGGGGAGAGGTACTAGGAGAGCAAAGTGTCTTGTCCAAGAACATGACACAATGATCTCAGCTTGGGCTCAATTTTAGACCTATTGACCTAGAGTCCAACTGACTTACCATTAGGCCATCAACTACCCACCCCCAGCCAATACCCCTCCCAAACCCTCCAAACATTGACAATATAGTTATTGTTAACAGTGCATATAACATAGATCTTTAAATCCCAACAAAATCTTATTCAACTTCTCATCAGCGGGTCAATTTTAGACTTCTGATCCATAGTCTTTACAATCACCATTAGATGAGCATGTGTGTCTTCCACTTAAAGTGCAAGTAACTGATACTTACCAAATGTAAGGTCTTTGGAAATCTGTGGGGGCCAGTTAGAGGTTTCAAAAGCCATTTTTTTTACAAGAAAGTTAGAAGCTGAATCAGAACTTCTTAAGGGGTGGGCTGGCCACTCAAACCAAAATACATCAAAATCGCTTTGAGAGGCATTAAAAAGTTCTTGAAAATTTGCAAGATGTTTGAGAAGGCCTTGAAAATTTGAAAAGGTAAATTTTTCTCCTCATCAAAGTCTTGGAATTTTACCCCTAGCACTTGAATTCTCTTGATAAGTTCATGAGTAATAAATTATTAGACTACGGGAAGCATTAAAACCATTCTTTTCCACCACAGCATGGCTTGGTAAGCATTGTCAACATGGACAACTCGAGAAGAACATATTACTAAATGAGTTTTTGGTCTCAAAAAGTAAATCTTCAGGATACTATTTTTATAAGTGACCATTATTTGAAGCATCCAAGTATCCCCACTAAACAAGGTTTTGAGTATTTTGCATTTTGCAACTCCCCTTGACCAATTTTATCTTGATTATAATGAGTTTTGAAATATTCATTGGCTGAATTGTCTGGGCTTGAAAATCTTTGTCTTTATTAATTAACAGTCCTTTAAAAAATACGTGATTGCAAATGTGAATACAGTGTATTTAACAGCTTCATTTGACCCATTTTATTATATGTAGTTGGTTAATGCTAGCAGTTGGCACTGAAGAAACTTAATTTTAAGGTCTTGCTGGTAGATGACAACTGGGTAGTTCTTTTCCATCCTTACCGTAGAGTTTTTCTGGCTCACCCTGTGACTGGACTTATGCTGAAACATTTTGGTTTCTGTGTCACACAGGACATTGAAGGTTTCTTTGGGACTTTATAGACCCAGAATGAAATGAAAAATGTGAAAAGGCCCATTGGAGTTTCATTTGCTTATTCCATTTCCGATCATGTTGTTGCTCTGGAGAGTGATGTTTTAATTTCCATTTTATAAATGCATGCTTTTGAGACGTATAAAGGCCAAGCAGAGGCTATTTCCAGGGAATGTTGTACATATTAAGGAGTCTCCATGCAGCTTCCTAGGCCATACCTTAAATTTGCAACCAACATTTTTGCAATCTTTCCTCAACTGGGTCAATGTGTTTTCACCCATCATAGATGCCAATATTAATATTTGTGATTGTGACACCTTTCACTGGTAAAGCTATGCATTTTTTGTATGGAATTGATGGAATTAAATATGAAATATTCTTTGAGGTATTCTAAAACAGGCATGATTCATGAAAACAGACAGCATGGGATTAAAGAGAATGGTTCATCTGATGTAGAAGATCACAAAATGATGCTTGAGCTTGTGGATTGTCAGGACAGTACAACAGCTTGAACTTGATGTAAAAATGAATCACCATCCCCTGGGAGCTACAGTATTATGGCACCATGTGTGATTACATTGTATGGGTTACGTTGCTTGATGTAGATTACATTCAAGGTAACCCGATGAAGTTGGTGTTATCAGTTTTTTTTTTCATTTTGCTTTTACATTGCTCAACTTACATATTATAATTTATTACATTATAATTAAACAAGTAACGCTTTAAGGGATATATTTTAACACCTGCAGTGCACCAGGTGCTAAAATATGCCCCTAAACTTAATCATTCAACAGAAAGCTAATTATTGCTTTGCAAAAGCAGAAACAGATGCTTACAGGTATCACTCTAAGGATTGGAGTCCAGTAAAAATACTCTGTCATCCATTTTAAAATTTTTAATGAGCGACAATAGAGTGTATTAAAAATAGCCTATCATCCATTTTAAAATTTCACCCTCTTACTGTAGAAAGCAACCACAGTTGGGTTCATATGGGTCATGGAAAACCTGGAAGGTCATGGAATGTTCTTATTTCATTTTCCATGCTTGGAAAGTCATGGAAAAGCAATATACTTTCTGAAAATAAAAAGGCAAAAGGTCAAAAGTTGAAAAAAATGACAGACTAGTCAGGGAACCAGTTCCAATTCCAGTAAAAAATAAACACTCACACGCATTTTATGTGTCATAATATAATAGATTGTTTTGGCAATACGTTGAGGACAACTTCTTAACATAGATCATGGAAAACTCAGAAATGTTGTGGAAAAGGCCATGGAAAGTCATGGAATTTCAAAAGCTCAAACGAGGACGAACCTTAATCAGTTTCCTAAGAAATACTAATTGTGATTTGGTGGCATTGATGTTCTTGTGCTCTTATGGCTAATGGGCACTTGCCTCTAATTATCAAGTCATCGGTTTACATATAATTTAATTTGTTGTTGTTTGTCATGATAGTCAACAACAACAACAGTGCTTTATTTACTCTTGACACTTAATACACATTTGTGAAGAAAATTAGGCAGGACACTCAAAAACTACTCTTAAAACTGTAATGTAATGCTCTTATATTTATGCAAGATCTAGCTCACTCATCTTAATTCTCTAAGACAATCAAACCCATGCAAAAACAGCAATGGAGAACATTGTGTGCTGACTGGAGGCTGCATGTTTATTGAGTCAGGCCAACAGAACAATTACAAAATTAAGATGCCCAAGGCAAATGACAGCTTACAAAAGTACGAGAAAAACTATATTATTTGGGTTCCTTAAGATTGCCTGATCAATACATGAGAATTAAAATCACCCTTAACATGGCCATCCTTGGTGTTTTCACTTGCCCAACAACCATGACGCTTTAAGAGTCTACAAGAAATTCTGGCATTAGCTGCTGAGGTGGCTCCTTCAGCTCTAAGGCTATGAGCACTGATCTTCAAAGCATCTGTTAAACCTCAAAAAGTGTCCTTTATAAGTTCTGGAGCTCTTGTTTAGGTAATCCCATGGGCTCTGACATTCTCTTTTGACAAAGGAGTAGCAAGGGCTCTGAACAGACTGTGGTAAATCTTCGGAGAGGTTGATTTGCACAACTGAGCTGTAGTTTTCCAAGGCCTTGACAGGACAAGTTGGCAGATCTGACCTTGTGACAACAATTCATGCCCCATCAAGAAATTGGTCAGTTTTTTTTGTGATGATTCTAGAAAAATGGAAACATATAAGTGGAGACATTTAATATTGCAGGCCTTTATATGGCATTACTCACTAAAATGGAAAAACCCTGTGTAATCAGCACAGCAATTAAAGCAATCAATCTGAGATCTGAAAAAGTAAGAGACTTATCTGTAATCCTCGATTCCTCTTGGGATTTTGATATCTCAGGGGTCACAGGATTTTTTTTTACCTTGGGCCTATCCCTTCGAGGTGCACTGGCCATTGAAGAAACCTGAGGATGTTAAGCCAGCCATCTGCTGCACCCAGTCAATTCTAAAGGAGGATTAGCATTCTAAAGCAAGCACTGGAAGTAGATTGCGACCTGAAAAGGATTAGCAGGAAAGTTGCAGATGCGATTGGATGAAGCCCAACATTTCCATCTAAGACCTCCAAGGTAGGTACACACAGTACCATCCACTTTAGATGCAAGAACAGTGGTGCTCTTCATCAGGGAAGCAGTAGGGAGTTAAAGAAAATCACTTCGGCAACAGGAACATTGCTCAACAAAAGGTTTAATGAGCAGAACAATAGCTGTGCATGTGTTTTATAATTCTTGGTACATTTCTTTGCCATTCTCTGCAAAACAACAACGTGAAATGACCAAATTTTGTGTTGTGTGGAGAACGTGAGCCACAACAGATAATTTTTAACATTTATATTTTGAATTTTATGTTCTGCTCCATAACCAGTTTTGAGATACTTTTGACAAAGAGAAACAAACTAATTGACTTTGGAGTATCGTGAGGTTTGTAGGTAAAATATAAACTATTTAATCGATGTTGTCCTCAGCATTGCCATTGTAGCTTCTTAAACTCTCTAGTGAGTTGGAGATGATTGGGGTTGAGGAGAAAAATGTTGACCACATTTCAGACTTTGAAAAGAGACAGAACTAACTGACAATTAGGAATGAAAGAAAAATTAGTTATACCACCTGACCAATAATTAACTAACAGAGTAATAAAATAGTTAATTATTAAATAAATACCTAAATAAATATCTTTTAAATAAATTAATAATTACAGATTAAAAATATCAATGAATGAATAAACAAAAATACCACACATACAAATGAAAAACAAATTGATATATAATTGTGAAAGCAAGAATAAGAAACTGATATTAAGCAACGATTAAAGCAGGGAGGTCC